AATATAGTGACTGCCAGAATTATTTTATATAAGAAATACTGATTTGCAAGAGATTAAACTTACCCAAGATCACATATTTATTGAGCAGTAAAGCCAGGCGACCATTTAGAGAACTCTGAATATAAAGCTTTCCTCTATGGTAATATTGTAATAATTCTGTGATATATATGTGGCACATTTATATACTAGTACAATATTGTTCAACTGGTATCCCACACAATACTACTGTAGAATAAATAATATCTCACATCAAAAGGATTTTATAGCTGAATAATCTTAAGAAGGCCTGCATATTAAATCCCTTTCTTGTAGAATTTCTACAGTAAAGAAATCTGTTTAACCAGAATTTTCCAAGGGGTGTGTGTGTTTGTGTGTGTGTGTGTGTGTGTGTGTGTGTGTGTGTGTGTGTGTGTGTGAATATATGTGTGCTACATAATACTTCATTAAATCCTGTGGGAAACATAATTGCAGAAAACACAGCACTATTTTTTAACTAATATTCAGATATAATCATTCAGAATAATAATTCACATCTATGTGAGTGTAATTCCAAGCTTGCCATTAAAAAAAAAAAAAAGCTTCAGAAAATTTTCAACTGTTTTTTACCCACAGCTATTGTTCCTGTCATCCACTTCTCATTCATCAGTATGTTTGTGAATGTGTAATATTCTAGAGGATGTCTGCAAAGTTGGGAAAAATGGAAAAAACTTACTAAGTAATTTTAGTTTACTTTCCAAATCATGTGCTCAATATATTTTCAGGTGGTATACGCTTTTAAAGATGAGAAAAAAACATGTAGGATGTGTGTTAACAGCAAGCTAATTATATGGCAGTCAAGTATATAAGGAGGCAGAGCAGACAGTTTGGGCAGATAGACTGAAAACAATTTTTGCTGGTCCTCATATACACTCCTAGAGTATTTGTATTTTATCTTACCGTGTATACCAGAGGTAGGCAAATCTTTTTTGTAAAGAATAAGATAGCAAATATTTTAGGCTTTCTGGGCCATACTGTCTCTGTCACAGCATGTAATGCTGCCACCATAGTGCAAAGGTAGTTACAGATGATAGGTAAACAAAGAGAGGTGCCTCTGTTCCAATAAAACTTCAAAAACATTTGGCAGGCTCCATTTGGCTCATTGGCTGTAGTTTGCCCCACTCCTCAGCACTAGTCCTCTTTGTCTTTCTTTCTTTGTTTCGTTTGTGGTTCTCTGTACATTGTTTTTTATTATTATACTTTAACTTCTGGGGTACATGGGCAGATCTTGCAGGATTGTTACACAGGTATACACACGCCAAGGTGGTTTGCTGCCTCCATGCCCCCATCACCTACATTAGGTATTTCTCCTAATGTTATCCCTCCCCAATCTCCCCAACCCCTGCTATCCTTCCCTTAGGCCCCTATCCCCCAACAGACCCCACTATGTGATGTTCCCATCCCTGTGTCCATGTGTGCTCATTGTTCAACACCTACTTGTGAGTGATAACATGCTGTGTTTGGTTTTCTGTTCTTGTGTCAGTTTGCTGAGAATGATGGTTTCCAGTTTCATCAATGTCCCTGCAAAGGACATTAACTCATCTTTTTTATGGCTGCATAGTATTCCACATTGTATATGTTCCATATTTTCTTTAACCAGTCTATATTTGATGGGTGTCTGGGTTGGTTCCAAGTCTTTGTTATCATAAACAGTGCCACAATGAACATATGTGTGCATGTGTCTTTATAATAGAATGATTTATAATCCTTTCGGTATATACCCAGTAATGGGATTGCTGGAACAAATGGTATTTCTATTTCTAGATCCTTAAGGAATTGTCACACTGTCTTCCACAATGGTTGAATTAATTTACCCTCCCACCAACAGTGTAAAAGTGATCATTTTTCTCCACATCCTCTCCAGCATCTGTTGTCTCTAGATAGTTTAATGATCACCACTCTAGCTGGCATGAGATGGTATCTCAATGTGGTTTTGATTTGCATTTCTCTAATGACAGTGATTAAGGAGCATTTTTTTTACATGTTTGTTGGCCACATAAATGTCTTCTTTTGAAAAGTGTCTGTTCATATCCTGTGCCCGCTTTTTGATGGGGTCGTTTGGTTTTTCTTGTGAATTTGTTTTACTTCTTTGTAGATTCTGGATATTGGCCCTTTGTCAAATGAGTAGCTTGCAGATTTTATTTCCCATTCTGTTGGCTGCCAGTTAACTCTAGTCATTGTTTCTTTTGCTGTGTAGAAGCTCTTAAGTTTAATTAGATCCCATTTGTCTATTTTTGCTTTTGTTGTCATTGCTTTTGATGTTTTAGTCATAAAGTCCTTGCCTATGCCTACGTCCTGAATGGTATTGCCTAGGTTTTCTTTTAGGGTCTTTATGGTGTTAGGTCTTATGTTTAAATCTTTACTCTATCTTGAGTTAATTTTTGTAAAGTGTAAAAAGGGGGTCCAGTTTCAGCTTTCTGCACATGGCTAGCCAGTTTTCCCAACTCCATTTATTAAACAGGCAATCCTTTCCTCATTGCTTGTTTTTGTCCAGTTTGTTGAAAATCAGATGGTTGTAGATCTGTGGCATTACTTCTGAGGCCTCTGTTCTGTTCCATTGGTCTATATCTCTGTATTGATACCAGTACGATGCTGCTTTGATTACTGTAGCCTTATACTATAGTTTGAACTCAGGTAGCATGATGCCTCTAGTTTTGTTCTCTCTGCTTAGGTTTGTCTTGGCTATGTGAGCTCTTTTTTGGTTTCATATGAAGTTTAAGGTGGTTTTTTCCAGTTTTGTGAAGAAGGTCAATGGTAGCTTGATGGGGATAGCTATAAAGTAATTGAATCTATAAATTACTTTGGGCAGTACGACCATTTTCACGGTATTGAGTCTTCCTAACCATGAACATGGAATGTTTTTCCATCTGTTTGTGTCCTTTCTTATTTCCTTGAGCAGTGGTTTGCAGTTCTCCCTGAAGAGGTCCTTCACATCCCTTGTTAGTTGTATTCCTAGGTATTTTATTCTCTTTGTAGCAATTGTGAATGAGAATTCACTATTGATTTCGCTGTTTGTCTGTGTGTATAGGAATGCTTACGATTTTTGCACATTGATTTTGTATCCTGAGATTTTGCTGAAGTTGCTTATCAGCTTAAAGAGATTTTGGGCTGTGAAAATGGGGTCATCTAAATATACAGTTATGTTGTCAGCAAACAGAGACAATTTGACTTCCTCTTTTCCTAACTGAATATCATTTACTTCTTTTTCTTGCCTGATTGCTCTGGCTAGAACTTCCAATACTATACTGAATAGGAATGGTGAGAGACAGCAACCTTGTCTAGTGCCAGTTTTGAAAGGGAATGCTTCCAGTTTTTGCTTATTCAGTATGATATTGGCTGTGGGTTTGTCATTAACAGCTTTTATTATTTTGAGATACACTCCATCGATACCTAATTTATTGAGAGTTTTTAGCATAAAGGCTGTTGAATGTTGTCGAAGACTTTCTCTCCATCTATGGAGATAATGTGGTTTTTGTCTTTGGTTCTGTTTACATGGTGGATTATGTTTATAGACTTGCATATGTTGAACAAGCCTTGCATCCCTGGGATGATGTTTACTTGATCATGATGGGTAAGCTTTTTGATGTGTTGTTGCATTTGGTTTGCCAGTATTTTGTTGAAGATTTTTTCATAGATGTTCATCATAGATATTGACCTGAAATTTTCTTTTTTAATTGTGTCTCTGCCAGATTTTGGTATCAGGATGAGACTGGTCCCATTAAATGAGTTAGGGAGTATTCCCTCTTTTTCTCTTATTTGGAATAGTTTCAGAAGGAATGGTACCAGCTCCTCTTTGTGCATTTTGTAGAATTTGGCTGTGAACCCGTCTGGACCTGGATGTTTTTTGGTTGGTAGGCTATTAATTGCTGCCTCAACTTCTGACCTTGTTATTGGTCTATTCAGGAATTAAACTTCTTTCTGGGTGAGTCTTGGGAGGGTGTAAGTGTCCAGGAATTAGGCCATTTTGTCTAGATTTACTGGTTTATGTTCATAGAGTTGTTTGTAGTAATCTCTGATGGTAGTTTGTATTTCTGTGGAATCAGTAGTGATAACCCCTTCATCGTTTTTTATTGCATATATTCTATTCGTCTTTCTTTTCTTTATTAGTCTGGCTCTCTGTCTTTCAAGGTTTCATCTGAGGTGCAGCAGCAGCAGCAGTAGTGAACTTAGAAATTTGGAATATCAGACTCCACTGCAGACCCACTGAATCTGAATCTGCAGTTAACAAGGTCATCAGTTTAATTGCATGCATGCATTCAAGTTTGAGAAGCACAACTAAAAAATATTACAGGGTTTTAAACACGGGGATAACATAGACAGCTTTGTGCCATATACAGTGTAAATTTTTCTGAATATTCCCCATCTAATGTTTTACATATCTACAAACTGTCTGAAGTATTTAAGCCTCAGGTTGAATCTAATTCACCCATGAAACCATTTGCCACCAACCTGAAATAATTACTTCCTTCTCTGATTTCTTGGAACATGAATGCATGTTTTGTCATGTAATTATTTCTTTGACTTTTCATAGGTAATCATCTGTTCAAGCATAAGAATTATTTATACATTTTTCTGTATTTCACTCAAAACCTACCACCTACCAATGCAATATTTGAAGTAAATAGTGTATTCTAAAAGTTTCTGCCAGTTATGTAATTGACCATTGTAATTTGGACTGGGGCTAGAGAGTTGTTCATTGTGACATAGGTATTGCCTTAGGAGAGCATAGTTTTATGTCCCACAGAAGCCAATTACAAGACGGATGTGGTGGAACGCGCCGATAGTCCCAGCTACTCCAGAGGCTGAGGCAGGACAATCACTTAAGCCTAAGAGTTCAGACTAGCAACATAATGAGACCCATGCATCTTTTATTAAGCCAACTACAGATGGGCTTGGTAATCCTCAAAAAAGTATACCTCTAAGCTATGAGGGTTATTTTATTTTATTTTATTTTTGGCTGTAAGAGGACTGAGTCTGAAATACTGGATGGCTCAGGGCAAACTGATCAAAAGTTTGGAGGAACAAAAACACTCAGTAAGGGCATCTTCTTTAAATATTTTCTCAATACTTGCAAGTCTGATCTTCAGAAATAGCCATCAATACTTTGTTTCACCGTATCAAGAGGGCTGTACAGTTCCAAACCAAGTCTAAAAAGTGTAGACTCAGGCTGGGTCAACCTGCAGCATCTGTGGTATTTGTAACACTCTTGTAACCTTATCCAGAAAAGGTATCCAGCCTCCCAGGGTCAGCTCTACTTTACTCCTGGTTCAGTCTAAGTTATCTCTGGAGGCTTTATTTACACAATCTTGGGTTAATCTGCAGAAAAATGAACTTGAGCTTTTAGTTCTCCAGGACAATCTCCAGCCTGGGAATACCCAAGATTCGGAGTACTTACTGACTCCCTGTCTACAGACAGTCTATCTAGTAAATAGACTGCCATTCTTCCAGTTTTCCGTATTATAAAACTTCCTTTTGTGTATGTGTGGCTTTTTTATCTTGTTTTGTTTAAAGATGGGGTCTCACTATATTGTCCTGTCTCCAAACAGGGACCTTAAGATGGGGCAGAACATCCCAAGGTCCCTGTCTGGAGGAACATAAGGCCAAAGAAGGAAAAATTGAAAGAGAGCCTGTCTAAGGGTGAAACCAGAATTAAGCTGAAAGACTCTGGTACAAATGATATGAATAGTTACAGAAGAGAGAAACCATAACCTTGAAAGCAGAGCAAGTACATACAAAGGGAAGGAACGTGGAAGGCAAACCCAGGAGTGATTCCCAGAGGTGTAAAGAATGTGACTGTAGCTCTTCATGCTGTGCCAGAGATCTTGTTCTTAAAAATATCTCACATATTAAAAAGCAGAATAGGAATCTGTTGCATGTTTCATATATTTTTCTACTTAGGACAGAGCCAAGTGCAGTGGCACATTCCTGTAATCCCAGTTACTCAAGAGGCTGAGATAGGAGGATTGCTTGAGCCCAGGAGTTTGAGACCTGCCTGAGTAGGCCTCAAACTGCTCAGTTTATATAGTGAGACCCCCATCATTAAACAAAACAAAATAAAAAAACCACACATACACACAAAAAAGTTTCACAATACAGAAAACTGAAAGAATGGCTTATTTACTAGATAGTTTCTTTTACACACTAGACATCAGAATATTGCTTTAAAATGTTTGCATGAATTATTTTGGGAAAGTTTAGATTCATTACTTTTGAAAAGGAAACTGCTTCAATATTGCCTTCCCTGGCCATCTAAACCCTTCCCCAAGCTAACCTAGAATGAGGATTGGCACTAAAACATAGTGAAATCCCATCGTAATTGAGGCCTGGCAGCCACAGCTCAATTTAATGCCTAAATATTATTAGGTTTTCTCAAAAGAAATGCCATTAAGGATGCATTAGGAAAGCAATGGGTTAGCTTTCTAGAAATCACCTATGAAAATAATGCCATGAATTATAGCAATGGAATAAAAGTTACCTTTGAGCACTTATAACAGGGCCTCGGGACTTCATATAAGATGATTTCATTATTTTCTTACAAACATCTTTTAAGACAACTGTCAATGCATTCTCCATTTTACAGATGAGGAAACTGAGATGGCAATCTGACCCTTTGTTGCTTTTTTTTTTTTTGGTATAAAAATGGTATATTCTTTATTTTGCCTACTTTAATTCAGAACAAAATGAACAAACATAGTAAAAACCACAATACACAACAGCCATTCCTGCTGTCAAGAGTAAGAAGGGAATCGAGGCTTGACACTCTTGTTTCCTGCCTTCAACACAAGGACAAGAGAGAACACCAGACATCAGCAGAGGAGCCAGCTGGGGCAGGAGCACGCGAGGCTGCAATGGAGCCATAGGGACACTACACAAGGGCAGTTTTCCAACTATGAACTTCTAATCAACTTCTTCCATGTGAGACACATCCTCATCACCCTCAAGGGGAGGGGGGATCTCATCAGGAACTGCAGCACTGGGTTCCTCTGCTGCCACTTCATCTTCATCAATACCTAGACCTAGCTTGAGACAAATACTGTGTGCAGCAGCTCAAAGAGTTTGATGGAAAGAGCTTGGTCTCAGTTACTAAGGATGGTCTGGAGCTACCCGAGGATGAGGAGGAGAAGAAAATGGAAGAGAGCAAGGCAAAATTTGATAACCTCTGCAAGCTCATGAAAGAAATCTTTGATAAGAAGGTTGAGAAGGTGACAATCTCCAATAAGCCTGTGTCTTCACCCTACTGCATTGTGACCAGCACCTACAGCAGGACAGCCAATATGGAGAGGATCATGAAAGCCCAGGCACTTCGGGACAACTCCACCATGGCAGCCAAAAAGCAACTGGAGATCAACCCCGACCACCTCATTGTGGAGATGCTGTGGCAGAAGACCCAGGCAGACAAGAACAACAAGGCAGTCAAGGACTTGGTGGTGCTGCCGTTTGAAATTGATCCTCTGTTTTAACCACCACACAGATGGCACTGCACCATGCTGTGTGTCAGCAGCCTATAGACGCCTGTCTTCGGAAGTGATCAGTTGCTTAACATAAAAGACCATCATTATCAGTACAAAAATGTTTGAGACACTGTCATTTTACGAATAATTTTACTAAGATAAAATAAATGTACAAACTTTTCAAATATCAATGATGGCATTTTTTCCTACAAATTCAGCCTTAGTACTCCAAATTTTTCTATTTTTATAATGCACAGAGGCCTAAGTGTTTCCCCAAATCTAGCATGTCCACCAATTATCTTTAGATATCTTCCTGCAAAAAGGAAGCTAAAAGATTCCAATAATACTGAATTTAATTAGCATACAATGATTTACAGTACAATTCAGCATTTTAGCCCACACAGTTTCCATGTGAATGTTTCAGACTGGAGTAAGACAAAACCTCAATGAAAAATAAAGATGAATGTTCTGAAATACATCAATTAATTGACTTAAACATGGTAAATGAAAACTAAAGAGCCTCTTCAGAATGAAAATTTTTATGCCTGCTTTAAGAAATCTACAGAAAAAAACAGTTCACTAAAATACGTGATTCATGGCCATTTTAAGAGTATATGTGTATGTCTTTATTTCTATTTAATTTATCCTCCAGAAATGTGGGAACTATAAAATTCTCTACTTTTATTTATATTTATTTATATAATTTTTATTTATACATCTAGTTGCCAGAATTTTAAAAAAACTACTTTAAAATGACTCATTGTCTAATTCCTTTCGAATTAAACTCCCTTTAATTTTACGATCCATCTCTCACAGACTGTTTTGCTGTTTCCATAAACTCTAAATGCAAAAGAAACATATGCAATTTCAGAATGTTGGTGATAAGTATGTTATCAATAAATGTTAACCATTATAACTATCATTAAATGCTTTTAAGAATAAGCTAGCCACGAACAATATAAGAATAATGACAGCAAGATGTCCTTTTAGTAGGCCTAAGAAATAATTTTAACAAACACTTATTGAGGGCAATGTGTCAGATGCTATTCTGAAAAGAAAGGTTACAAAGATAAACGGAGCACGATTACTTATCGTTCATGGAGCTCATAGTTGAATGCGGAAGAAAAACCAGCCCTCAAAAATGCCTTTTGGTGTAACAGAAGCAGGTTATAAGATTCAGTAAGGATATAGAGCAAAGAGGAAATGGTCACTTTAAGGATAAAATGATGTTTAAGCTAAGTCTTGAAAAATAAACAGGTGTTCACAAGATAAGAAAGAGAATTACAAAATGAAAGAAAGGTGTGTGTAAGGATAAAGAATGGGCAAAAGAACAGGACATATTTGGGGAACGACTGGTAAATCAAGATGACTAAAGAATAATAGTACATCTACAAAGAAGGTATAGGTTTCTAGATGTAAAAAAAAAAAAGTTATAGTTTAGCTTTAAATTTGTATATGAAGACTTAGTTAGAAGTGGGACATCTAGGTATGAAAGCCTAGGAGGCAGATGCATACAGGTTTCTAGCTGAAGGGAAATATTTGATTTGAAGATGTAGATTGCACAATCATCAGCAGGCAGTTGTCAGTTGAAGTTCTCAAAATAGGTTAAGTCACTTGGAGAAAGCATATAGGGTAATTGAAAAAGAGGCCTATGTTAGAAACCTTAGAAACTAATATTTAAGGGGCAGGATAGGAGCACAAGAAGAGGAAAGAACAGCCAGAATAGTAGTAGAATAATCAGGAAACTACACCATTTTAGAAGCTGAGACACATAAAAATAGGTACAATAGCACATGACAGTTGTCCCACCTGCTTAGAAGGCTGAGGCAGAGGATCACTTGAGCCCAGGAGTTTGAGGCCAGGCTGGCCAACATAGCAAGACCCCATCTCTAAAATAATAATAATAACAATAATAATCATTAATTTTATTTTAGAAAGAAGCTAACACAATAAAGATGCTCAAGAAGAAGAGAGTGGTCATTAGTGCCAAATTACACAGAGATATCATTCAGTGACCATGTAGAATATGGATTTTCAAAAGAAACTCATTTTAGTAGGTAAGAGGGTCAATTATCAATACCAAAATTCCTATGTCCATCAACTCATGATCAGTATAATTTCCAAATATACACAATATACTTGCCAAATATTACAGAGCTAATGGGTGGTTGAACAAGCATTTGATTCCACAGCTTTCAGACCCCAAAGCCCATTCATAAACATTAAGTTTGTGTAGTGGATTGAAGACATTTCTATATTCTAACTCAGAATCTGTGGATATGACCTAATTAAAGAAAATGTCTTTACGGATGTGATTAAGAATCTCAAGATGAGATCACTCTGAATTATCCAGGTGAGCCTTAAATCCAATGACCACTGTACTTACAGGCAACACACAGACAATAGACACAGGGAGAAAGGGAGAAGGTCATATGAAGGGAAAGGTAGAGATTGGAGTAATACGGCAACAAGCTATTCTTTGGCACCATCAGAAGCTATAAAAGGCAAGGAAGAATTCTCCCCTGGAGACTTTGGAGAGAATACAGCCAGCACTACACCTTCTTTCATACTTTAAGCACCCCGAACTGTGAGAATACATTTCTGTTATTTTAAACCACGAAGTTTGTGGTAATTTGTATGGTTGCCCTAAACAAATATAGATAATAAAGCTTCCCCTAGCTGACAACCTGCAATCATATTTTAGATAAAGAAATAATTCTAAGAAAAAGGAAGTCAATTATTCAGATGAATATTTGTTAAATAAAAACTGCTTGATTATTTAAAGAACTATTACTATGCATATATTTTGGGGAATCAAAGGTACTTTTTTATTTGAACTTAACATCACTGATGTAGCAATATCTCATAATAAACCATGAAAACAATGGCATTCAATTAAAACTTTTCATTACAACTTACAACAAATGCTTTTGAAAGAACAGAATGTTTTCTTCTAATATTTCAGTCCCTTAGTAATTAACTGTGTCTTTTTTAGCAGATCTAATCAAGAATTTTCCAGAAAAAAAATTACTGTATTCCAATTCTGTGAAGAAAGTTATTGGTAGCTTGATGGGGATAGCATTGAATGTATTAATTACTTGGGGCAGTCTGGCCATTTTTACTGTATTGAGTCTTCCTAACCATGAACATGGAATGTTTTTCCATCTTTTTGTGTCCTCTCTTATTTCCTTGAGCAGTGGTTTGTTGTTTCCCTTGAAGAGGTCCTTTACATCCCTTGCTAGTTGTATTCCTAGGTATTTTATTCTCTTTTTAGCAATTGTGAAGGGAAGTTTGTCATGATTTGGCTCTCTGTCTATTATTGTTGTATAGGAATGCTTGTGATTTTTGCATATTGATTTTGTATCCTGAGACTTTGCTGAAGTTGCTTATCAGCTTAAGAAGATTTTGGGCTGAGACGATGGGGTCTTCTAAATATACAATCATGTCATCTGCAAGCAGGGACAATTTGATGTCCTTTCTTCCTATTTGAATACCTTTTATTTCCTTCTCTTGCCTGATGGCCCTAGACAGAACTTCCAATACTATGTTGAATAGGACTGGTGAGAGACGGCATCCTTGTCTTGTGCCAGGTTTCAAAGGGAATGATTCCAGCTTTTGCCCATTCAGTATGATATTGGCTGTGGGTTTGTCATAAATAACTCTTATTATTTTGAGATACACTCCATCGACACCTAGTTTATTGAGAGTTGTTAGCATAAAGGGCTGTTAAATTTTGTCAAAGGCATTCTCTGCATCTATTGAGATAATCGTGTGGTTTTTGTCTTTGGTTCTGTTTACATGGTGGATTATGTTTATAGATTTGCAGATGTTGAACTGGCCTTGCATCCCTGGGATGAAGCCAACTTGATTGTGTTGAATAAGCTTTTTGATGTGCTGTTGCATTCTGTTTGCAAGTATTTTATTGAAGATTTTTGCATCAGTGTTCATCATGGCTATTGGCCTGAAATTTTCTTTTTTAATTGTGTCTCTGCCAGATTTTGGTATCAGGATGATGTTGGTCCCATAAATGAGTACCTTTTTTGTATTGTCTGGAATAGTTTCAGGAGTGGCACCAGCTCCTCTTTGTACATAGGTAGAATTCAGCTGTGAACCCATCTGGTCCTAGACTTTTTTGGGTTGATAGGCTATTAAATGCTGCCTCTACTTCAGACCTTGTTATTGGTGTATTCAGGGATTCGACTTCTTTCTGGTATAGTCTTGGGAGGGTATTAAGTGTCCAGGAATTTATCCATTTCTTCTATATTCACTGGTTTATCTGGATAGAGGTGTTTGTAGTAATCTCTCATGGTAGTTTGTATTTCTATGGGATCAGTGGCAATATCCCCTTTATCATTTTTTATTGTATCTATTTGAATCTTCTCTCTCTCTTTTAAACTTCATGAGAACCAAAAAAGATCCCACACAGCCAAGACAAACCTAAGCAAAAAATACAAAGCTTGAGGCATCACACTACCTGACTTCAAACTATATTACAAGGCTACCATAATCAAAACAGCATGGTACTGGTACCAAAACAGAGAAGTAGACCAAAGGAACAGAACAGAGGCCTCAGAAGGAACACCACACAACTACAACCATCTGATCTTTGGCAAACCTGACAAAAACAAGCAATGGGGAAAGAATTCCTTATTTAATAAATGGTGTTGGGAAAACTGGTTAGCCATAAGCAGAAAGCTGAGACTGGATCCCTTTCTTACACCTTATACAAAAATTAACTCTAGATGGATTAAATATTTAAACATGAGGCCTAACATCATAAAAACTCTAGAAGAAAACCTAGGCGATACCATTCAGGACATAGGCATGGGCAAAGATTTTATGACTAAAGCACTAAAAGCAATGGCAACAAAAGCCAAAATAGACAAGTGGGATCAAATTAAACTTAAGAGCTTCTGCACAGCAAAGAAAACTATCAATAGAGTGAACTGGCAATCAACAGAATGGGAAAAAAATTCTTGCAACCTATCCATCAGACAAAAGGCTAATAT